TTCTACCCAAAGTCCTCAGGAAGAGGCCGGACAGCCACTTGCGTGGAAGAGCAGAGGGTCTCCTGCTTGAGCAGACGGGGTTGGACTAGAAGACCTCCAAGGTTCCTTCCAACTCTGGTGTTCTGTTCCGTTCTGTCCAGGGACTGCAAGGAGGACCAGGTCCAATCCAAATCAAGCTCCAGCAAGGTCCTCTCCCCATCCAGGTGAGGAAACTCTGCCCATGCTCAAATCCACCTGGACTTTCCTATCCTCTGTGCTCCATCAGGAAGCGTTCGCAGGCAGCTCCTTTCACACGAAGCAGCTGCCCTGCTCTGGTTTCCCCTCGTCTTCAGAAGAGAGTTTGGCCCTGGGGAGAGCGGAGGCAGGGGAGGCAGGCTGCCAGGGAGGGGGGGGCACAGGCCAGGGGGCTGCACCGGCCAAGAGAGTCAGACCAGGAGCAGCGGGCTGACACCAAGGCAGACCTTGGCTTCACGCTCTGTCCCTTCCCTTGGGTCTGTAATGATGGACACCCAGCTGTTCACCCCAACTCAGGGCAGTTTCCACACCCACCAGACCCCTTAGGGCTCCTCCGGAGACTGGCACCCACCCAGCAGCCCCTTCCAGGAGCATCAGCCAGAGCACTGCTCTTCTGCTGAGACTAGGGGTCTCCAGGTTTAAGACTTGTGGACTTCAAATCCCAGAATTCCCCAGACTGCGATGCACCTGAAGGCAGGACGAGAAGCAACGGATAGAGACTACTCCAGGAGAGAAGCAACTTGGAATTTCCTGACAGCAAGAACAATTAACCAGTAGAACGGCTTCCCTCCAGAGGTTGTGGATGCTCCATCACTGGAGGCTTTTAAGAAGAATAGAATAGAATTTGGAAAGAATAAAAATAAGAATAGAATAGAATAGAATGGAATGGAATGGAATGGAATGGAATAGAAGCTGGAAGGGACCTTGGAGGTCTTCTAGTCCAGCCCCCTGCTCAAGCAGGAGAACATATACTGTCTCAGATAAGTGATTGTCTAACCTCTTCTTAAAAACTTCCAGTGATGGAGCGCCAACAAATTCTGGAGGCAAGGAGTTCCACTGGTTAATTGTCCTCACTGGCAGGAAGTTTCTCCTTGATTCCAGATGGCTTCTCTCCTTGATCAGTTTCCAACCATTGTTGGACAGCCATTTTTTTGAGGATGGCATAAGGTCTCTTGCTTGCGCAAGGGGTTGGACTAGAAGACCTCCAAGGCCCCTTCCAATTCTGTTGGAGGTTGATGGGGATATACAGGTAATCCTCGACTTGTGACTACAACCAAGCCCAAAATTTCTGTTGCTAAGTGAGATGTTTGTTCAGTGTATTTTGCCCCATTCTATGACTTTTACTGCCTCGGTTGTTAAGTGAATCACTGCAGTTGTTAAGCCAGTACATGGTTAAACCGGTTGCCAAGGATCTGAATTTTGATCATGGGACCAGGGGGGTGCTGCAACGGTCCTAAGTGCGAAAAACAGGGATGTTGTAACTCTGAATAGTCATTAAATGAACTGTTGTAACAGTCACAACTGTTATGATTTGCTTTATAATCTTGCTAACTTAACAACTGCAATGATTCGCTTAATGACAGTGGCAGAAAAGGTTGTAAAATGGGGCAAAACTCACCTAACAAATGTCTCGTTTAGCAAGATAAATTTGGGGGTCAATTGTGGGCGTAAATCGAGGACTACCTGCATTTGATTTAGCTCACGTTGCTCCTGTTCGCCTGACTATCTTCTCTGCTGTAAATATAAATGTTACATAGGTTTATTTGTAAAAAAAAACTAGACGTTTGTGTCAGTGTCTCTAAGTTCATTTGGACACTTCCCTGATCCCGTGCCGGGCGAAGTGGGCTGGGGGGAGTAATCGGGAAAGCCCACCTCCCTCCAGGCTGCATCCCCCGTGTTCAAGCCCAACGTCCACTCACTTTTGGGCAGAAATGCACAGGATGAAAAACGGAGGCCGGACGGAGAGGCCAGGTGGAGGCCCTCTCTTAGGAAATAAATTGCCCTAAGCTTTGGGACTGACCTGCCTGGAAATTCCCTGAACTGGAAAACAAGTCTTACCAGAATGGCTGAATGGCCCCTTTCTTTGTTATCAGGACATTGCTTTGTCCAGGGTTGAGTGTGCCACAGGCAGAAGACACCCTGCTCGGTTCCAGCAAAGCATTTGGAGACATATTTCCTCAAAAGTGTGACTAGAGTCCATCGGAGTTGGGTGGCCAATAGATTTAAATTAATAAATTCAGCTGCATGGCGTGGCAGATAGAACGATAAACAGTTCGCTCAAAAATGAATGACGAGTGGCTTTTATTAAACTGCTGGAAGCTTCTGCATGGCTTCCCTCGTAGTCCGGCGCTTGGCTTCCTGCTCTTCAAGATTTTTCTTCAAGGACGTGGATAAAGAAAGAAAGCCGATTGAGGACTTGAAGATGGCACAAAATTGGGAGGGACACCAACACCCTGGAAGGCAGAAATATTATTCAACGTGATCCTGACAACTTGGGAAACCGGATTGAAACATCAGAATGAAATTTCACGGAAACAAGGGCAAAAGGCTTAACTTGGGAAAGAAAAGCCAAACCCTGTGGGGGAGGGGCTGGCTTGTGGTAACACCACTAATTAGAACAATTAATCAGTGGAAAAACATGTGTCTGGAAGTTGTGAGTGCTCCAACATTGGAGGTTTTTAAAAAGGGATTGGGCAACCATTTGTCTGAAATGGTATAAGGCAGGGCTAGGCAACCTTGGCTCTTTTATGACTCGTGTATTTCAGCTTCCAGAATTCCTGAGCCAGCATGGGGGAACTATGGCCCCCTCATGACTCCTGGACTTCAACTCCCAGAATTCCTGAGCCAGCATGGGGGAACTATGGCCCCCTCATGACTGGTGGACTTCAACTCCCAGAATTCCTGAGCCAGCATGGGGGAACTATGGCCCCCTCATGACTGGTGGACTTCAACTCCCAGAATTCCTGAGCCAGCCTGGCTCAGCTTGGAAACCTCTCCCTTTCCCCTCAGCATGGCTGGTTCAGGAATTCTGGGAGTTNCAGCATGAGGGAACTATGGCCCCCTTATGACTGGTGGACTTCAACTCCCAGAATTCCTGAGCCAGCATGGGGGAACTATGGCCCCCTCATGACTCGTGGACTTCAACTCCCAGAATTCCTGAGGCAGAATGGGGGAACTATGGCCCCCTCATGACTGGTGGACTTCAACTCCCAGAATTCCTGAGCCAGCATGGGGGAACTATGGCCCCCTCATGGCTTGTGGACTTCAACTCCCAGAATTCCTGAGCCAGCATGAGGGAACTATGGCCCCCTCATGACTGGTGGACTTCAACTCCCAGAATTCCTGAGCCAGCGTGGGGGAACTATGACCCCCCTCATGACTGGTGGACTTCAACTCCCAGAATTCCTGAGCCAGCCTGGCTCAGCTTGGAAACCTCTCCCTTTCCCCTCAGCATGGCTGGCTCAGGAATTCTGGGAGTTGAAGTCCAGCAGTCAT